GGCATGTTGGTTGTGGCCAAGCCTTGAACCAGTTCTTTAAGTAGAGTAATATTGCTGACATATCAGTTTTGATTATCGTCCTAAAAGTTTTTAATTGAAAGATTTATAGTTTACGTGAGTGGATTCTTTTTGACTTTCCCTTATATCTGTGAATCATAGGTCCAAATTTGCTTTAATAAGTTAGTATATGCATCCAATTTCTATCTGTTTTAATTTTAAACGTCTTGAAAGAACTGAATATAATTGTACTAGTTTCAAGTTTAGTACATTTTTGTTCTTGATATGTGAGCCCCAAGTCCTTCTGTCTAATGTCAGTCTAAAATATTGAACTTTATCTATCTGAGGAATCTGACCATATGTCGAGATAAATACTGCATGTTTAACGTCGAAGAGTATAAGAAATATGTTGTGGATCGTCTTGGTTGAGTCGAATTTTTGGTTGGCTTTGCACGAGTCCTGAAATTTTATTAGGTGATATTGTAGAGTCTGAGAGACGTGTATTAGACTTTGATATCTTGTTAAAGTTGTTTTATCGTCTGAGTAACTTTCGGTCAAAGTTTCAAAACGCTATGGAATAAATATCAGGTGTGTAAATGATTGTAGTTTAATTTTAGAAACTTTAGTATTAATGTTTAGAAAATTTAAACCACACGGCCTCGTGTCTCTAAAATGCCGGTAAAAGTATCATCAGTGATGTGATCTTTGGTTTGTTATATTTTGTGCCCAGAAGATCTCAGAACTGGCGAAACGTTATCGGGTTATTTCAATCTTTATCTGCATTTAAAAGATACAAAGTTGTCTGCTTGGAATTTTCCAATTATAAAACAACATCGACTTTCCGTCTCTTGGTGAGTTTTTACTAGTTTTATTTTTTTTTAATTTACCACTAAATATCAACTTTGTCTTTTAAATTGTATGAAATAAAAACAATTTAAAATGATATTGCATTATCATCATAGAGTATTGTATTGTATGTATTGTCTATATATTATTTTTATGTAAATTTAAAACAGAACCCCCTTTGGTAAAGGGGGTACAGCCTCCATTTTTCCCTCCCCCTTTCGCCGGCGGCCTGTTTTCAGAGTCCACTGCATCCAAAAAAGTTCCAAATTATTTCACAATGGTTTATTATTTTCAAATAATTATACATCTAAAGGAACATTGCCTTTCTAGTAACAAAGAAAAAGAAAAAAAAGATTATTCCTATTATTGGCCTAAACCACTTATTTTTCATCATTAGTAATTTCCTTAAAAAATTGCATTACTTCAATAACACTTTCAAAATCAAAACCAAAACAAACGATATGACTTTTGCAGAAAAACATCTAGAGACCATATCTTTGCTCCAATTGTCCGATTTTGATGATTTTGTTTTTGTTTTTTAGAAAATTTCTTAAACTTTCAAATAACCATACTATACATAAACAATATCAACAAAAACGTGTATACTTTTTGAGTTATTAGGAAATCTAATTTTATCATCCCTCATAAATTGTATTTCAGCTTCTTTTCGTTGAGGTATGTTATATAAATAAATTTAAAGGGCATGAAGAAGAAGACTTTAGCCAAGACTTTAGACCCGTTTCATTGAAATCGGTACATTCGTTTAGGCGCTATACTCCATGGAAACACAGTTTTTTCGGCCGCCATTTTGAAAAGAAAAGCGGATAGTAATGCAGATGTAGGTGATTATCCTCGGGTGACCTCTGACTATAATACAAATTGAAAAAAAAAATCGGTCCAGTAGTTTCGGAGAAAATGTGCGGTCAGCGGACGGCGTACGGTGAGGGAGCAGGGTGGCCGAATGCGCTAACACGTGTGCACAGCACCACGAGTTGCTCGGCAACCAGATAACCGAAATTATGAGATTTAAAAAAGTACGAGTTCTCGCGTCCCGGTGCCGGAGGGGATTTTAAATTCCCTACCCTCACCCTCCGGCCCGGGAAAATCCCGTATAGACTAAAAGAGGAGGTAGGGAAGAACAAAAAAAAGAAAGAAAAAAAAGACACCGGACTGTCAAAAGTTTTTGTTTTTACATTTTTCTAATTTTACCCTCGAATGAACTCTACAGACCCTTCATGGGTTTTCGTTGTGGTTTTTATATATATATATATATATTCAAGAAACCAAAGGGAAAAAAGTTATGAGAAATTATAAATTTTATCTAGATGTACTTTATTCTACGACTACGTCCTATAATCGAATGAGTCAAAATCAAACATGGAGAAGGTAATATTATGATTTGGATGTGCATGAACGTAAAAGTATGTATTGGTAATTTAATGAATGGATAATGGATTAGAAATAATGAATGAATGAAAAATAATTTTATTCTGGGATTGAAGTCCCCTCAGAATAATAGTAGACTTCAAAACATATGTACATCAATACAAAATAATGTGCAAATACGTTAGGATTAGAAGAAAAATTTTTCTTTTAAGAAGACAACCCTAAATATACCACCTTAGAAACTCAAGAAAAGTATTTATACAATATAATCTGAAAAACTCTCCACGATTTTACTACCGAAGTCACATAGAGCACTTATGGAACAAATTCGGTTGATGAGTAAAAAAAAATGACGCATATAAAACAAGGAACAATAAAAAAAGGTATTATGAAAAAATTGGTATCATTCATAGAATAATTAGAAAAACAAAAAATGGTAAAATTCATATGATGAAGCTAATTCTAATATAGAGACCAGAAAACTATCACCCTAGAATGGAGTATTGTATTATAAGATTTGAGAGAAACTTCGTCCGGACGATAACCAGAGCGATCTGGATTAAGATTACTAACCATGGAGGAAGCAGGACCAGAATAGAACTGCTCACAGAAACTGGTCAATCAATATCTCATGATTTGAAGGAAATGAGGTTAAGATGGGCGGGGCATGTAGCTCGAAGCAATTCATCAAGAAGCCTCTGTACAATACTGGACCCCTCAATAGTTGATAAGAGACCATATGAGAGGTTAAGTACCAGATGGATAAATGGAATCAACAGAGATGTTCCAGGGCTGTATATAGAAAATATTTCTAATTTTATTGAAACAAATGGATTTTGGGGAAAGAGATGGCCCGGAGAACAGTGAAAACTATTTTATTTAGGCTAACGTTTAGTTCAAGCGTTTTGTTTTTCAATGTGGGAATTTAATTAATTAAACCTTTAATTTTTTAGGATTGATATTGGATTACTACAGTAGTTGTCATGCAATGGATTAGACGTCAATGTTTTTCTCCTTGGATTCTTCAAGACTAGTAATTGAAAAAATAAAATCAATCAGTGTTATCAATGGTGATTATTATTATTATTATTTCAAGGCACTACAACCCGATTACAGGTCTTGACCTCCTCCGAAACATTCCCTCCAATCGCCACGTTCTTGCCGTGTGCCAACGCCATCCAGTTTCTTACTCCCCTGCCACACCGCTGACCATCTCAGCTTTAGTCTCCCCCATCTTGCCCTTGTTCCATGGATTGGCAGTGTAAGCAATATTTTAGGCAATATACCCTATATACTTTAAGCGCCTCAACTTCATTGCTTTCACATCACGATCATGTTCGAAAACACACCACTTCATTGTCCTGTACAACTCCTTGTTCGTGCACAGCTTCAAATCATCTCCAACTTTCACTCCTCGATCGATTTTTACGATTTTTTTTTTTTTGTTTTTTAGGAAATTTAGTAATCTTTCTAATTATCATTGGTACAATCGGAAAAAAATGCATACTTTTTGAGTTATTCGCAAATAAAGTTTCTTTTCCTTCATAACTTTTTCCAGAAATTGCGGGGGAATAGGACTATTTTTCGAATGTGAAGGAGAAGAATATTTTCAAAATGAGTGATAAATCATTGGATTTGATGAAGAATTGACGGAGTTATGGCGAACCGACAAAAAAACACCTTTTAGAAATAATATATAGTATTCATGAACATAAAGCTCAGAAGATCGTTGAATTGCCAGCTATCAAATTCATTAATAATTAAAATATAATTCCAGCTATTCATATTTTTGGTTTATTATTTTCAATAATCAACCATTATGATCGAACGAAAAATTCAAAAACTTAACCCCTCTCAAAATTTGAGGTTTCACGTTTCAGGATATGTAGAATTCGAAAAACGAATAAAAATATTTTTGTCCGTCCGCCGTCCGCGCATTTTCTTCGAAACTACTGGACCGATTTTTTTCTAATTTGGTTATAAAATCAGAGGTCACCCGAGGATGATCCTCCTTCATCGACATTATTATCCGCCTATTACTTCCAAAATGGCGGCCGAAAAACCTGCGTAGACTGTAGCGCCTAAACGAATGTACCGATTTCAATGAAACTTGGCTAAAGTCATTTTCTCTACGCCCTTTAAATTTATCTATATAACATACTTCAACGAAAAGAAGCTGGGAAAAAAGTTACGAGGGATGGTAAAATTAAATTCCGAATAACTCAAAAAGTATACACTTTTTTGTCGATATTGTGATAAAATGTTTCAAAGGTATTTAAATTTCCTACAAAATGAAGGAAATTTCATCGAAATCAAAGCACTATTAGTAGAGATAGAGCGATTTTTTAAAAATACAACCAGCAAAATATTCAAACATCAGCTTAAAAAAACGGTTACATAAAAAATTTAGTTCTTATTACCCCTTTATTCCGAAGTTATTCTTTATATTATAAAAACTATATTTAGAACGAACAGCTTTTGTTATGTGTAATTTAATTGAGAAATATTCTTTTCATTCCAAAAAACAGTCTGGGAATCTAGTTTAGTAAATATGAATTATTACTGACGTAAAAACGTAAACAAAGATGATATTTTTTCGGGGCGTTTGTTTTTTTAACGTCCATGACTTTGGAATTCGCGTATCTATTTTTGGCTGGACTATTTGTGAATCGAGGCATTTTGACAAAGATTGAACTGTTCAATTGAACCGGAGCGTCCCTACTACAGTATGTATTCTATGGCCTTCACTTGGTTAAATCTCTCAGTTGGTGGGCAACTGAGGAACTGCATGGGATGTGAGATGACCCACTCTTACTTCGTCCGTTTAGCTCTGAGGTACCCTTATTATTTCAACTGCCTTTGTTATCTAAAAATTAAAATTAAAATTAAAAATTAAGTTTTTCAGAGAAAAAAAGAATAAAGTTTTATTCGTTTTTCAGCGATATTAATTCATAATAAAATTTGGACAGCACTTAAAAACATTAAGTGATTTATTTTCATCTTTTTATTTTTATTTTTTAATAATGGTAAAACCTTTGGACAAGTAGTAGGGTGTTCATTCATACAGTAAACATGCTAAAGAGGAATAAATATAAATATTTAAAAATACAAAGAAGAAAATAATAAGAAAATAAATTATAATAGCAAAATAAATAGGCAAGAGTTAAAGAAAAATTAAATAATTAATGTTTTTAAAGTTATCATTGTTAGTTAATAGAGATGAATCTCAAATTATGGTGTATAGTATAAATTTTATACATAAAGACAGCATAATACATAAGACTGAAAACCAAAAATATTTTGAAAATAAATACCCACCAAGTGAAATGAATATTGTCAACACATGCAATATTACACATCGCTATTATTAGTACAAAAGGTTGTTTGTAAAAATTGAATTTTTTAAAAATAAAAAACCATTTCTTTGTTATTTATTAATATGATTTCTTTCATATTTTATTTCCCTCTGCTATTTTCTTATTTTGTCGACTACATATAGCAGTTACAGACTACAAAATTTTACATTTAGTGCAAAGAGAATAAATTTGTAAAATTGTTACGTATGACCTTTTGCACTAACAGTAGCAATATGACAGACAGTTTGGATATATTTTCAAAAAATGAACTGCTTTGAATAAATTTCAATTTTTAAAATAAATACAATTTTATTCATATTTTTACAAATCATTGATGAGCTAGATCCAAATTATATGGTAAACTCTTATATATTTGGTTTTTCAATTATATTAAACCGTTACAAAATTTGTATGCCTTTAAAAAAGTAAATAAAATATAAAATAAACAAAAAACTTGAAAAGATACATAAGGTAATTATGTTATAATCACCCTTATAATTACCTGTTATAATTGCCCTGATGATACCTGAATTGGCTAAAAGTTGGCAAGTTAATTAACTATTCATCTATATGTCGGAGACTCATTGCTTTGTAGTTTGGGTTTTTCTATTTATAAGGTAAATAAAATCACTCAGTAACTGGAATTATGTTTTAAAATTGAAATTTGGTATTTATTGATGACAAAACTCAAATTATGGAAATATTAGCAAAGATGTTGTAGAATAGATTTATAATCATTCAGAAAATAAATATCCATTAAGTGTAAGAAATAAGTCATTAAGTTAAGAGTCATTAATATTTAAAATAGTTATTATTTTAAACATGAAAATCACATCAACATTTTTTTTTTCTATCAGGAAATATTAAATAGCATAATGTAAAAAAAAAAAAAAAATATTCTTTAATAGTTAAAATAAAATTGTCTAGATTATGTGTGCCCAAATTATTTAAATAATAACATGAAATAATTCAGTTTTGGCAAGATAAATAAATTAAGTGATTATTTATTGTATTTTTTTTTATTTCTTAATGACATTTACAACTGTATTAAATAAATACATTTAGTGAATTTGGACATAATAGATATAATGACATGAATACACTTGCTGAGTAACTACCCAATGGTAGCACTCTAACTTTATTGTAAATAAAATACTAACTTTGGGAAACTAAATTTTATATATATTTTATTAAGTTAAAAGTATTTCAATCATAAAATTAAATATTCTAAAAATCTATTACGTAGACAACTACTAAAATTTCCAAGGCAACAAGCTCATAATTTTCATATTTACATCCTTTATAATTCTGAACTAAGCAAATTATTTTTAGAAATTCCACTTTATCTTCAAAATTTATGACATAATTTGAGAAGGCCAACAGCCACTTTAGTCTTGATATTCATAAAGTGCACAAATATCAGTTGAATCAAAGCTTTCATGTGTGAAATATATGTAAAGAAACATTTGAAATATATTTATATCAATCATACATGTTCAGTGGTACAAATAATTAAAGTTACATAAAAAAATTAAACTTATGGTACATTAATGTGTTAATATTTTGGGATATTTTGTAGTAATATTCTTAATCCAACATCTCTTATACAGTTTAGAAGAGTTTATCTGAAAGCCTTTCCTAAAAAAAAAATAATAATACTGAAATAGAAGCATACGTAATAATAAAAAGTACTCATAATTGTCTTTATATGATAAAAGAGGAAGATGAAGAAAAACTCTATTTTAAATTCAATTACTATCAATAACAGAACTATTTCTATGATTCCTAAAGTTAGGTTAAATTAGAATAAATATTATTTAATAAAAATAAAAATTCACTATACCTAAACTGATAAAGAATAATAAGATAACTTATAATTATTACTTTCAATGACGACTAATTTATTCTTAGCGATCACATCCACCCAATAAAAATGGAGAGGGGGTGAGAATATCCTTTCACCTTCCCCCCCTCCACCCCAATATTTCCAAGAACTTATTGAAATTTTAGTTTATATTCAAAAATATGCAGCAATATAAACTAGGATTTGATTATTCATTCATGTGTACCCTTCCATTTTTACATGAAGATTTTATCACATTTCCCAATGCAAATTTGAAGCATCGAAGAAATTAGAGTTCGTCCCATTCAATTGATTTATTATCATATTTTCAGATATGCCCAATAAACCCATACCCATAATAAAAAATAAAAAATATTAATAAATAATTTTATTTTTATATATAGTATTATATTGTTCATTTTGATAATTATGTTTATTATCTCATAATTTTTATACATAATATAAACTTCTGAGATTTTTTTTTATGGGTATCACCCCTCTCCCAACCAGAATGCATATAGTTCGACATTTATCAAAAAATAATAAAAATAAAATTGTAAAGTAATAACAAGTAAAACATTAAAAAGCTGAATTTTTCCTGTAGTACTTTCCATATCCATTAGGGCATTAAAACAATTGGAATATCTCTTCATAATTCAATCCTATGCTTATATCTTAGTTAAGAATAAGAAATCATAACTTAAATCAAGTTTTAAAAAATTGTAAATTATTTTTCTTTTTATTATATTCTTTATTGTGTTCATGGATCATGCCAGCCCTTGTGTGTGTTGCTCAGGGTTGGCCATCCCAAACGTTGATGGCACATGAACCTTCTCAAGATATTTTATTACTTTCCTCTTCTAAAAACAGTGCAAACAGAAGTAGAATTTATGGATTTGTTCTGATTCTTACAGGTTCTTATGATATTTTTTGTCAGGACATCATGAAATGACTGTAAAATAGAGAATAAGACTGTTATTTTTTATTAAATCTCAGAAGCTTCATATGAAACCAAATACTATTTGAAGTAAGTATGTTGTTTTTTTTCACTTAATCCAGATTGGCTTAATTCCTGGCCATTTTTTTTTTTCTGTTTCAATACTTTTGAATTTAAAAAATAAATAATTATTTTATTTTATTTATTTTATTTATTGTTGTAAAATTAATTGGAAAATTTAGTAGGATACATTAAGCTCTAATTTGGCTATGGAGAACAAATAAATTGAGGCACCTTAGGGAGCTCAAAATGTCAAAATTGTTTCTTTTAATTTTCCAAAAAATCAAAAAAAAGTCATAATCAAAAAGTTATAATAAAAGTATCATTTATCTTTTCAATTTTTTTTTTTGAACATTTCTTTATATAGTAAAATTACATTTTATCACAACTAAGGACATTTGTAATAGTGACGCAAGAGTTAATTCACACTTTTCTACAGTAAATAAAAATATATCTTTTCAATTAGCAAAGAAGAATGATGAGACAAAAATATACATTCTTCAAAATAAACTTTTTTATAATTAATTATTTTATGCGTAATTTAATAAATTTTTATTCTTATGCAATATAGATAAGAATTTTTGTTTTAAATTTTCTTTTCTCATAAAGCAAAAATAAACAAAAGGATAAGTAAATAAAAATAGTGATATATATTTTCATAAGATATTACATTTTAGCACATTTATTTTACTTTAAAAAGTATTTTTATTAAGTATTACTGTCTGGTGGATATTTTCAAAAATATTGAATGCAAAATGAAAAAATTTAAAGAAACGTTCAATGTTTTTCTGAACTATAATGAACTGGTGATCAGACAAGATCGAAAATTTTGTTTTTGCAGTCCAAACCCAAATAACTTATAAAAAAATTAGAATTACCTGATCTTTTTCATTTTGAAAGTCCTTTGTTTCTTTGAATTAAAAAAATTATTATTCAAGCTGCAACCATAGACATTTTAATATTTTTGCTAAAAGAATAATATTTGAAAACTATTAATATTGTATTCATAAAAATCATTAATTTATTATATTAATGGGAGAAAAAACTCTCCTCAACACAACCCATGATGATAAAATCATTAATTTTGTACTAATGAAATTTAAATTTAAAAAATATATTTAGCTGTATTCTTCCTCTGAACCCATAACTAATTTACAAATACTTTAGTAAATAGTATAAAATATGTTAATTCATCACTTGAAAAATATTCCTCAATCTGTTGTGAAAAAATAATTTATATATCAATTGTACAAATGAGATGTGTACGTTATTAATGTAAATAGTTTGTAATGTATAAATAAATATAACAATAAAGATGGCACCCTGGTTCAGATCAATCGGAGCCTGGGAAAGCTTCATTCAGCATGGGCCCTGTTCACTTGTAGCCTGCATTAGAGTAACATTGAATCTCGACTGTTTTGTTTTAATATCCCATGATCCCATAACACAATCCCAAAAAAAAATTCTAATCTTACTCTATGTATAGTTACTTAATGTTGTCATTACTCTTTATTATATTTCATCCTATGCAATAAAAGATATTCCATTTCACCCACTTCCTTTATCATTCCAAATCTCACTGTTAAAAAATATAAAACAATTTAGAATAATTAAATAATAATTCCACAGGAATATTATGAAAAAGAGGAAATATCATTATTGACCATAAATTATTTATTTGCATTTGTATCTTTTTTTCAAATCTAATATCAATATCATTTTTTGCTTATTATTTTAGCTTGATCAACATAGTAGCTAAATCTGTGTATTTCTTTTAGCAATGGGTTTTCAGAAATATACATTAGCAGTAATAGTGTTAGCACCTATTATAGCATATTTAGGAATAAAATTTCATGAAACAAATGAAACGCCGAAATTAGAATTGGAATATTGGGGACCAGGAGAAGAAAAAATTGACGATAAAACAATAAAGCCATTTAAAATCAGTTTTCAATCCTCTGTAAGTTAATTGTGATGATATATTATAGGCTTGCTATGATGGAAACTACATATTATAAGTTAAAAACTGATATTTTTAATTGATGTATGCAGGAACTGAAGGAGCTTAAAGAAAAATTGGATAAACCGCGGTCATTCACTCCCCCTCTCGAAGGTATTGGTTTTGAATATGGTATAAACACTGATTACTTGAAAGATATTCTTCAATTTTGGAGGACAAAGTATAACTGGACAGAAAGAGAGACTTACCTCAACAGCTTCCCTCAGTTCACAACACAAATTGGGGGTCTGAATATTCATTTTTTACATGCAAAAGTAGATCCTGTTAAATCAAAAGGTATATTCATTGAACATATCATTCAACAATAACTGTTATTAACAATAGTTATACTTGCCAATAGTCTATTCTTAAATGTTATTTTTTAATTCCTCTTTCCATGACAAAAAAATTAAAATTGAGAGTAATTTGCTTTTGATATTCTTTTATTTTTGTAATTATAAAGTAGTGAATGCTCCTGAAACACTAAAAATCATTAAACACTTCTTTTTTCTCTACTACATAAAAGTGTGAGGAATCATTAAAAACATATTTTTTATTAATATTGTTTATTCAGAATACTAAACATCAACATAATATGATGAGAAGAATTTAAAAAATCAAGAAAAAACACAAAGTTGGTAAGTAAGTTATGGTTATAGTCACAACAAAACATTATATAAATAAAATCTTAATTGTTTCATTAATGTTTATCTGCAGATATGAATTAGAATATCAAACTCAATTGAACTACTAAGTTTCATTCTCATATTTTGTTAAGAAAAATTTTTTAATTGGTTTGCGAATTTAATTATATGGATAAATATAATTTAACTACATCTCAATGCATATTTTTAAACCTTTGATTCAATTTGAAGGGATTTATTGTTTGAACTGAAAAGAATAAATAATTAAGAAAGAAAGATTTGAAGGTGTTATCATTTTTACTTTTTTAATTTCATATTGAATATACATTCTAAGTGTAAAAACTGTAGAAATATTAGGCTACGAGCTATGGACAATTTCATTTAATGGAAGGACTAGGTGGGTAAAAGCATCAGTAGTTGACAGTGTGCCAATACCTGACATCCTCCTCTTAGAATGTGAATAATAAATTTTCAGGACCTCCTAGACCCCTATTTCATAAATATTTAGTTTCTATATTTCCTACTTGTATATTTGCTTGCTTTGCTTTAGTCTTGATGGAAACCGTAACCGAAAGAATGAATGGAGAATTAGGAAGGTCCCTCACTGTTCACTTAGGTATTCCAGGATCAACCATCTATCTAGTAAGGATACCATACCTTATGCTTGCTCTTTTCTCTTTAACTACTTTGATTTATCCCAATTTTTATATTTTATTTTTTCATTGAGTGTTTTTAAATTATGTTTTATATGTTTTTTACCTATCTTGATGAAGAAATTAGAAATTTAATGGGTTATCAGATACTGGGTCCTTATAATAGGGCCTTTTGCCAGTAGCTGACAGGCCCGTATTCTCATAAATTTCAAAAGATATACTCAATATAATGTACGTAAAAATGGGACCATTCACAACTGTTACGTTAAAATAAAATTCTAATGATTTTAATTAAATTTAAAGCAAAAATAGGTTTTCCTATTGCCAAAAACTAGTTCTTGACAGTGAGCAGTATTTATTATACAGATAAATTTAAGTCGGAAAGCGCAAGAAGTTAGTTTTTAATAAGTTAAAGGTAATTTTTATTAATTCCAAATCAAACAGTGTCAATTACTGGTACCACAAAATTATTCTCTTAATTTTCAATTTTTGAAAATTTAGATGAGTATTTCATGGATTTGAAATATGTCTTGGGAAGGTGAGAAATATTTCTATAACCTGAATTCATTAAAAATATAATAACATCATTATTTTAATTTAAAACGTAAAAGTTCTTTATGCAGGTCAGCTAGGGGTGCATTACCCTAAATCTCATCTGAACATACAACTTCGGTCAGATGGTTGAAAGCCATTGGTTTCTATGCACAAATTTGACGGTTAATTTAACGTAAGAACATAACATAACATGACCTAATTTGATGACTTTGATGTAATCAGTTTCCAAAACGTAACCGAGTACATCGTCAGTCAAGGTGAATTTTCTTAAAGGGACATATTCTTGACACCACAGTAAAATTTCAGCCATATGTTCTTACATTAAATGAACCGCTAAATTTCACCTCTTTAATTTAAATTTTCGTATAGAAAGCAACGGTTTTCAACGGACTAACTGAAGTTGTGTGTTCAGATGAGTTTTATTTAAAATGGTTACTAGCTTTAAGTCCCTCTGTTAAATGAAATGATCGGTCGCTCCTAGTCTTTACACAGTTATGCACAATTTTCAATAATGAAATTACTAATTGTGTATCATTATTCTGTAAAGTATTATTGGGCGTATTTTTTTAAAAATGACGTTTTTTTCAAATTTGGTAAGAAGCCATTTTAATTCTGCAAAAGGTACTTATTTTTATTATTTTAATGAATACCATACTTTTTCATATTTTGGGTTAATAATCACATGCTGGTTTACGTTTTGGGACATCTTTAGAACCAGTGTTGCCTAAAATTGATGAACAATTATACTTAAAATATACTTCACATTGTTCCAAATGACTCTTCTCTTCTTCTTCTTTCTCTACCTCCTTTGTGCCTTCCAGCGTGGAGGTGCCTCCATCCATGCATCCCAAGGATTTCGGTCAAGCTAGAGCCCTCATATCCCCTATCCTCATACCTCTTTTCTGCCCATCTTGATGCCAATATGACTCTTTCATAATAATAATTAAGATTTGTTCCCTTGCCACTTTAAATACAAAAGATAAATCACCAAGGCAATTAGTTGTTGTATTTTAATGTATAATATATATATATCTTATATCAGTAGGTTACTTTGCCTTTATAACTGGACAAGTCTAATGACAGAACTTGATGTAATAAGTATTTTAAATAATATTTAAAATACCAAGGATCTTATTAAAGATTAAAATTTAGCACTGATTATTTTCTATGGATTTGTTTATTATGGAAGTCTCCAAATACTTAAACATAAACTTATCAACATTTGTCTTGTTTCTTAAATTATTTTATGTATTGAAACAAAACTTTTTTAAAATGCTTTCATTTTATCATTTTGTAAAATGAAACATACTGATCCAATGATAACAATCTGTTATTCAAGCAGGTATCATTTCTTGATTCAAGACCCATAATCTATAGCTTTTCTGACTTTAAAACTTGTATTAAATTTGCTTATTTTAATAGTAATAAAGTATCCTTTATTTGTAATATTGTGCAGGTAAACAAGTTCTGCCACTGATTGTTCTGCATGGATGGCCAGGTGCAGTTAGAGAATTCTACAACTTGATTCCATTGTTAACAACACCTCAACCAGATTCTAATTTTGTCTTTGAAGTAGTTATTCCTTCCCTTCCTGGCCACACATTTTCACAAGGAGCTTCCAAACCTGGCTTAGCACCAGCGAAAATTGCAGTTTTGTTTAATGAACTTATGTCGAGGCTTGGTCATGATAAGTATTATGTACACGGAGGAGATTGGGGCTCTGTGATAGGCAATAATATGGCTATTTTAAATCCTGACAAGTAAGTTTATTTTAACCATGTTTCTCTTTTATTTATTTATTTTCAATCCTTTATTTAACAATGTGTTTTATGATTTGTCCATCTAGTTATGGACTAAATATAAATTTACAAATGTAACATTTTATTTCATTTTTATATTCCTTACTATCTAATGGCTTTTATGAGGTTGAAAAGAAGAATACATAATGAATGGCCAACTAATGAAATTCTAAAACACAAGGAAATCCCATCTATATCAAGCTTTCCTTTGGAGGCACTGAAATATTCTCTGTCAGTTAATATGATGGTACGAGATAATAGGATACTTTCTCCATTGCACATGGAGTTGGAAACACAAGACAAAAAAAAACTTATAGGCTTGTCAAAAAAGGAACTTATTCCAATTTTCTGCCTCAAAAAGGATATTAGAAACTATTTCAGCAGATTTAGAAGGATGAGGTGCTAACCATACACTCTTACAACAAATATACATTCCTATTTTAATCTTAAGTACTGGCTTGTCATTGTGCCAATATCCTACTAAATGAGGTACTGAAAGGTAAAAGATTAAGTTTTATAGTACGATGGAGTTATTTGTGTATTTAGTATGTGTTTCATATACTCAAGTGTATTACAGCTTATATATAATACAACTTTGAACCATCTTGCTAAGCATAATTATGTAACTATTGAACGAGTATCAGAACATTCTGGTATTTCAGCCCACGAAAAGTAGTACTATAATCTCAAAACCAGTTTGTGACATAAGCTTTTGCCAGGCTAAAAGAAAAATTTAGATGGCTTATGGTGAGGATGCTAAATAATATTGGCATAATAAAAAACAAAATACTCTAAGCTGTTTCTAGGCCCTGTGAAAGAAGAAACACATTTTCACACTAGCTATAGGGGGCATCTCTAATAATAATAACGGTGATCTAAATGGGTCACAGTAAACTAAAGTCTCAAATATTTAAACTTAAGCTGGCAGGGTCATCACAGGTCCTTTCACATTCAGATCACACAAATGGGGGACCCAATGCCTCAAGCCTACATGTGGCCTCTTATAGACACGGGCGGATCTACGGGGGAGGGGAGGGGCTTTCGGGCTGAAGCCCCCCCCCCAAAATGGTAAAATATAACTATGTTTTATGGGAAAATATATTAAAAAATTATCTCTTAAAGTATTATTATTGGTGTAATTACATTTAAAAGGACTTAAGGAATCACTTAAACACCATTTCATATAGATAGCTAGTTTCTTTCTTTTTTTCCAAAGTAATTATCGCCATTTTTATGAAAAAAAAAGCTTTCGGGCTGAAGCCCCCCCAAAATTGAATCCTGGATCCGCTAGTGCTTATAGATATGTGTGACCGTGAGATACCAGCGGCCTCTGTTACTTTTTATGTGGCATTTAATAATATATCACAATAATTGATTAATATTTAATTATTTTTGCTCCAAAAATTGAGAAATAAGTTGAATGTGTGTGTTTGTAGGAGTATTTACTTATATACAAAAATAGTATCAGTAAAATATAAAAAATTACTGTGACCTCTGATAATAAAAAGGTTCCCCACCTATGGACTATCATATCATAAGTCATAACATAAGTTCATGATGTCTGGATGTTTGGTGGAGCCTAAAGCGACTCTTTTGAGATTGTACTAAAGCTGCCCAAATAATGTTAAGTACAGTAAGTTTGTGGTGCAAAATAGGCTTGCTAAGGCCACAAGACCTCATGCCATAAAAAAATGTTTGAAATCATTAGAAATTGTGAACTAGTTTCTACTTAAATATCTACAAGTATAATTTATATTTATTTTAATAATAAAATATTTGGATAAAACTATAACTTTTTTCAATGGATTATATTTTGATTCTAAGGGTTCTAGGTTATCATTCAACATTCTGTTTGGCAAGTAATTTTCAATCAAGAATTCGCACACTTGTCGCATACTTATTTCCACGGTTTTTTGTTGATGAGTCATTGCAGGAGCAATATGTAAAGCAGTTCGCTAATTTTTATTTGTTAGAGGGAGGATACCTTCATATTCAATCAACAAAACCTGATACAATAGGTAAGAATGATTTTTATCTAAATCTAATGATTAGGTGTTCACATGTTTTCGTTTTCTGTAAATGAATTGTTATTTGATAAGTCTATTACATAATAAATTTAAGATACTTAAGTGTTTTATTATTGTATAATTTGAACAATAAGATGAGAATATTAATATGCCTAAATTATTTTCATTAAGGTGTCGCCATGAATGATTCTCCGACAGGATTGGCAGCATATATCCTTGAAAAGTTCTCAACTTGGACCAATAAAAACTGGCGATCTCTACCAAACGGTGGTCTAGACAATTTAAACAAAGTTGAACTCATTGATCATATTATGCTATATTGGCTTACTAAAAGCATAACAACATCGATGAGGATTTACAAGGAAAATTTCAGTGGAGAATATATGAGTCTAGGGATTGAAAAGCAAGTATATATTCAATTATATTCATCTGATACTCATATAAAATTGATGTAATATTGTGTTTGAAGTAGTTGAGATGGATTTAAGTCAAAAAGATAATGAAATATTCTAAACTTGTTCTAAACTGAAATACAAGAAGAATCTTTATTTATATAAAAAGAGGAGAAGAACAGTAACTATATATTTTTTTTATATTTTATATAATAGAAAGTAGATTATTTTTTTTTTATGATTTGTAATTGATATGATTAAGTTCTAGTTGAATTTTGTTATAAGATTACTCTCATGATTTTAGAAGTTTCTGAGTTTTAAGATGGTGGGATTTTCTAACATCACTGACATTTTTCCTCAAGGTAGTATCCTAGGCCCTATCCTCTATACAGTTTATACAGCTGACATCCTTACCTATCCCAACACTGTCAATCCTACAATCACCACATATGCCGATGACACATGTATCCTATCAGTAAATAATGACCCAGCAATTGCATCCCAAATGCTTCAATCACACATCATAAATCTAGAAGGATGGTGTCAAAACTGGAGAATTAAAATAAACTCCAATAAATCCCACCAAATTACCTTTACCCTTCATCGCTAACCAACAACTTCCTGTCTTACAGTTTCCTTTAACAATACTCCACTTATTCCTGTTGAGCAAATCTGATACCTAGGACTCCACCTGGACAAACGACTAACTTGGAATCCTCATACTAGACTGAAACGACAAGAAACCGCTCGACGTTTCCGATTACTTTAGCACCTACTAGACAAACGTTCTAATCTTCCAATTAATTACAAAAGACTCATATACTTGACTATAATAAGGCCTATTTGGACTTATGGAGTTGAGCTATGGGACTCCACTAAACTATCAAATTCCTCTCGTATCCAATCCTTACAATCCAAAATCCTTTGTAAAATCCTCAATGCTCCCTACTTTGTTACAAATAAAACCATCCATAATGACCTTAATGTTCCTTTTATTTCAGATCTGGCCCAATCCAGATACCTATCCTTCCATAATAAACTTCAGAATCATCCCAACCCTCTCGTTTCTAACCTTGCTTCCTCTTCAATTCCTGATAACCCTCCGAGGCGTCTGAAAAGAAGATGGCCCCGTGATCTCCTAATGTAAACATATTAGAGTGCTACCATTGGGTAGTTACTCAGCAAGTGTTTTTCATGTCATTATATACATTATGTTCTAATTTACTAGATGTATTTATTTAATACAGTTGTAAATGTCTTTAAGAAATAAAAAAAAAAAACTGACATTTTTAAGTTTCTACTGTTTAGTTTTCCATGGTACATTTTAAAATTAATCACCTTGAATATCGCAACTGTAGTACAACAGTGGGATATCTCAAGAACTTTTAATTTTAAATTGTTTTTAATCCTCTTACTACCAAAACAGTTTGAGACAAGTATGGACAATTGGAAAAACTGCTCTGTCATAGTTCTAATTATTGATAATTTCAGGCAAAAATAGATAATTTCTCTATTGCATCAAGGCAAGGTCAGAACTATATAGGGTCAAGGGGGCATTCACCCAGTGAACAAAATTTAGATGGTGGGGAATTTCAAACAATTTTTTTTTAGTTCAAGTAAAAAAATATTTGTTTTGTCCTTAATAGTTGTTATATTCAAGATGAATAATTAGTGATGAAATGAGTTAGTGTTGTAAGTTGACGATGTTTATTAATAATAAACCTAAACCTGATGTTCCCTAAAATATTGTTCTCACTATTTTTTTGCCTTTATATCAATTCAATAAAATAATCACATTTAGTCTATTGGTTATAAAAAAATTTTTAAAAAGTCTGCCAAATAAGGTCAGTATAGCTTCCTCACCGTTTTCATTTGCTAAAAAATATCTATATTACAAGATCTCTGAAAGAAGCCGTTTTCGGAAATTCAGTAATCACTCAACATATACAACATGTTTGATATTGACGAGTTTTGTTTATCAGCAAATGCTAAAATGCAAAAGAGTTCCGGATTTGCATATTTGATGATTCGTAGTTTTAAAAAAAATCCAGTGCAAAAGGTCGTATGTAAAAATTGAGTGTTTTACAGGAGAGCATAAAAACTAATTATTTCTTTATGATTTATTAGTACAATTTTATATTTTATTGCCATCTGCTATTTTTCATAGTAGTAGACTACTTATATCAATTGCAGAATACATAATGTCAAAAATAGAATACAAATTTAAAATTTTTACATACGACCTTTTGCATTAACAGTAATGATATATACTAAATAGGCATGTTTTCACTATGGATGCAACAAAAAATCCATAGGAAAGAAAAAAAACCTACCATTACGACCCATGAAAGGTCTTGGGTTTAGTTTGATATATTAGGAAGTACTTTTCTTGGTCAACGGTTGTGCGAGGAGGTGATCGGACCAAGATCACGCATGACAGGTTTTCCCCTTAATTAATTGATTAAGAGTACCAACTTTATAGAGGCTGGGTGTGCTTCAGGAGGATTTTCCAACCCCAGCGTAGATGAAACAAAATAAATCCTTATGTGCCATCAGCCAAATTTCAACCCAAGACCTAGAGGTGTGGAAGTCAGTGCCCTACCCACTGAGCTATACCACTCCCTAGTCTATTGATCACTCTTTATTAATGTACATATCAGGGAATTTCTGTCCCTCTCTTTAGCATATAACATGCCCTAGAACTGGGTAAATCATAGTTATTAATAACTAAGACTTACTCAATTATAGAGTACATTATATATTGAAAGAGGGGGACAGAAATTTCCCAAAACATACATTAATAAAGAATAATAATAAATATTAAATATGATTATTTTATTAACTCAACCTGAAAAAAAAAAAAAATAGTGAGAAGATAATCTAGGAAAAAAGGTGAAAACTGGAAAATGGTGAATACAATATTGTTATACAATGTTGAATTTCATTGGCGGGGTTGGTGGTAGATGAAAGAGCTTAATATTAATATATTAATTATATAATTTTAATAATATATTAATTAAAATTAAGCTTGCCCCTCCTGGCAAATTACCTAGTTTCAGCCCTGCATTGAAACAGCAAAATTATAAATGTGTTGAGATTGTTGAAAAATTATTAATTCGAAAATTTATTTTCAGAAATATAAACACTGTACCAAGTGCTTGTGCTTGGTTTAAGAATGAATTACTGTATTTTCCAAAATTTGTACTGAAAGCTGCTTACAAAAATTTGGTTCAAATCAGCCACTTCCCAAAAGGTGGACACTTTTCCGCGTACGAAGAGCCAGAACTAGTCGCAGATGATATCTGGAAGTTTGTGAAAACCCTTAACACAGCAAAGAGTGCTAACTAAAAAATTTGAAAAACTGTTTCAAATTCAATTTTTTATTGAATTTGAAAATAATGTAATATTGTAAATAAATAAATGTTATGTTTGTTTTTATTTTAGTATGTTTTAGAAAAAAAAAAGAAGAAATTTCATTGTTTTTATAAATGTTACATTTGATAAAAGTGATATTAATCAAAATTGTAAAAATAAACTTTAAAAAAAAAAGCATATCTAGTTAATATGTAAGATAACTTCCCTTCTATATTAGGTTATAAAGAAACTATTTAGTGTCACATAAACATAATAATTTGTAAATAGTAGCTTTATAAAATAATTACACCTGTGATATATTTCAGTTAAAGGGGTCAAAGAGTTTTACTGTAAATATTAATTGAATAAAAGTGAATATAAACATAATGTGAACAGGTATTATGGATATAATTATTGAAATATAATAGAAGATTATAGAAGGAAGAAACACTATTGTAGAATATAAAAATGTTTGTAACGAAATTTGATTTTGTTAAGCATTATTTGTTTGAAGGTAATGTTTTAATGTGTTTTTTTTTTTTTTAATAACTGTTAAAGTATAAAAAGTATTTATTTATTTCTTACTTTGACCATTTTCCCATAAGTTGATGATAAAATTTTCATTTAGAGACTCAAAAATTTAAGATTAAAAATTATTATTTATATGATTCCAGATGTAACATCCATTGAGATCAAACTCCTTTTATATTGATTGGATTATGACTTGACATAAAAATAAATTTGTATAAAATACTACTTAGATCAAACATAGTTTTATTTTTCATAAAGATTTAAACATAATTTTATTATTCATTTTATCATAAACATAATTTTAAGGACAAATAATTTAATAACACTCTTTACATTGAATATTAAATCAAATTTATTAATGAATAACATGTCATGTCAGTGGTGCTAAGGAACATATAGATTTAGATTTCATTCAGGAATACCTTAGAAATTATCTTAGAAGTTGTTCTGAAATAAAATCGTTTAATTATATAAGTTTAATTTAGACTTTTTATCCGGTTGATAAGATAGGGTCTAATTACCCTCGAAAGGATACTTTGCCATTTCAATAAAGCAGTAGTATTTCAGTCTATACTAGAACTGTATGACCTAAAAAGATAGATCTCTGTTGCATTGCTGTGTCAGAAAATTACATGGGAGACATTGTTTTCAAGCTATATATTTTACTTCTAGTTATTTAACTGACTGTTCAAGTTACTACTATCATTGTGTCAGAGAAATGAATACATCTTGTGTTTTTAAGTTAATTTAATTACTTGCAAATAGATTCACATAATTGGTATTTTCAAATATTTCTAAAAGTAGTAATGTTTCTAATCTATATAGTTGCACAGGTCACCTAAAATATAATCAAATAAAAGCAGGGATGAAAACATTATTACACATTATAAAAGACTTACTATTTCACTCATAATTGGTGAAAAGGTTAATAGGCAATCATTTTTACGATAACAAGGTTTATAGCTTTTGTTTACTAAAAATAATGCTTTCTTTCGTTAGAATGTTTATCACAATGAAATCAAGCCATTTGGTTTGAATCACAGATTAGTCTAAATTTGATGCTATACAAGACATTATATATGGACTGGAATATCTATGTGGAAGTAATTAATATTTCACATTAGTCACATAACGGAATATGAAAAAATTGTCATGCAGAAAATAGTAATTCATGTTCTTAAGTCAGAAGATAAACTCTATCAGTAAAACCGTATTTAAAAACCTCAAAACTATAGATTTTGTGAGAAAGAGAAGTATTCCTCTTTAAAATTTATAATATAAATAATAACTAAAAAAACTGACATATAGTAATTAGAGTGATATTAAATTATAAAAAAATAAATAAATTTAAAACTATAAATTTATATGAGTTTAATTATATAAAAAATATTTAAAAGTGAGAACATCAATAATTAGTACCATAAAATGGTGAAAATATTATTTCAGTTTTGGAGGCTAAATTTATGGCATTAATAAAAAACAAACTTAACGTTTAATTTCGCATTACTTGGTACAAAAGGATTCAAGAAAAAAGATAAATCAAGTTGTCCTTGAATTAAAACCGCCATATTAAGCCATGACCCCTCTCCTTCATAGAGGTCAACTCAAAAGTTACCCATCTTGAGCTACACATAGGAGCCAGTAGATAACGCTACTACCGGCAAATTGAGTTTGAAAAAGTTTTTAGATAAAAAAAAATAAATAATTCAGTATAGAATACTGGTATGTATATTGTGAATACAATTATAGAATCAAAAATTTTAATAATTTATTATAGAAAATATGAAAGGAATATAACATGTTCAAGCAATTTGCAATTCAAAATAAAGAAGCTTATAAAATGATATAGACATACTATGGAATCATTAGTTTGTAACTAAACTATTAATCAAATAGGTTGCTAGTGATAGTTGAAAATTTAGATTACAATAATTAAATTTTAATTTATTATTGAAAACATTATTTTAAGGTTTTTGAAAAATATTATAGACAGCAATAAATACAATAATAATATCCATGAGGTTAATGATAATTTAAGATAAACTAGTATGGTATTGTTTTTTTCTTTTAAAGGATAATTAAATAACTTGAAGTGAATTAAATATTTCCAGTCATTGATCAATGTTTTAATTTTGATCTGAAAGTATATTTATAATCATAACTTAATAAGCATAGGCCAGTATTAAAAACAAAAACAGCACTAGTTAAAAATATTAACTTTATTGTATATAATAAGTGAATGAAAAAATGAGGATGAATTAAAAATTCTACATTACTGGCTTGTCAAAACAAAGTAGTTTTACAAAGAGTACCAGTTAGTTTCTACTAGATAGCGCTATTTAATGGGAACATGGGTTTACAACAGACTGCTGCTAGCTTGTAGAGGAGAATTCCTGACTTCAGCTCAATGTTGAATGGTGACATATAATAGCCTTCACAGAAACATGACCTCATAGGAATATAAGTTACACTTCATAAGGAAGACAGTGTCCATTTTTCAAGAGAAAGTTATGCTGTAATAGATAAGTAAATGACATTTTCTCTTTTTATAGTAATTCATAGTTAATGTCCTTTTGCTTAACAACTTCAAAGAACATAGTTTCAGAATTAGAACAAGTTAGTTTGTTTGATACTATTTTGTTTTGAAAACAGTTCAAAATAAGGCAATAACATTTTTTCATAACATTTGTTTGTTTAAAAATACTTCTATTATCTCTGTAATTATTGTTCAGCTATCGGTATGTAATTATTCTACTTAGCCAAAATTAGGAATAGACAATTAAAATTAATTATTGTATTTATAAATATAAATGCCTATAAGTTATAATTATAGCTTATTTATTTAGTATTAAAAGTACATTTAATTTCAATTGACTTAGTGTTCTGCAGTTTTGAAGAAATTATAAATAATGACTTAAACATCAATAGAAAAATAATTAAATTTAAATTTTATTTTTTAGAATAGTTTCTCAATCCACCAGAAATATTTTAACATATTAATTATTCCTTTTAAAAACATATTTAATGTGCTTTTTTAAAAACACAAGAAGAGACAGTACTTTATAGACAGTTTCAAATATAGAACAGTCTTGTATAATGGGTTTCACTGTATAGTGAGTTCTCGCACGTCTACCTACTAAGAGGACTGATCATCCTCCAAGCTGCTAGAGCTGCAATCTCCAAAGAGCAGTAAAACACATTATACAAGACTGTCCTATATTTGAAACTCTTAGGAAAAAATTGGACATGCCACAAAGCCTAAAAGAAATCTTTAACGTTGAGGAAATTACTGTTAAAAAACATTGGAATTTTTAAAAAGAATTAATTCTATTACAGAGTGTAAGAAAAGGTATTGTCAATGATCCTTCAGGATAGAGGCAACAAAAAATAAAAAAACAATGAATGAATTCTAATAATTTATTTGATTAATTAACTAACTAGTAAATACAAAAGTCCACAATACTTTAAATAAATATTTGTTTTTTAATAAAAAGTTTCTGTTCTTTTCAATGACATTATCTTTTGTGATATTACTGGGGTTAGTCAAAAGTAATTATGAATAAATTCATCTTTTGCAGGATTGACTTGTTAATTTTTATTAAAGTTTCTGTAATTTTGTAAACTTTATCTGCTATGAACAATAAATATTGAATTTAAACTTACCAGTATCAATAAATATCCTTTTATTTTTAGTAGAAGGCCAATATATGTTTTACTTAATAATATTTTTGTCCCACTGGATATGTACCCATATCCATATATTCTGCTGAATATTAATACTTGAAAGTTTTTATGCCTCATAATTGTATTTTATTCTCAATGAAATATTTCTATTATTTTTTTTTCTATTTCTTTTCAGCGTGTATAATCATGTTTGGGAATTAAAGCATTGAATTAAGAACGTATTTGAAAAGTTTATAAGAAGTCATGGACGGTGATTGTGGTGGTGATGGAGGATTTAGCAGTAGTGGAGATGGAGGATTTAGCAGCAGTGGCGATACTGGGTTCAGCAACAGTGGTGATGGAGGAATTAGCAGTAATGGCGATGGGTGTTTCAGCAGCAGCGGTGGAGATGGATTGTTCGGGAGTAGCGGTGGTGCAGATTATAGCAATGACTCCAAATTTTATTCTATTGACCAAGGGGAAGACAATCATACTAAGTGGAATCAAGGACCCTTCATCACATCATGCGACGAACCTGATAAAGCTTACATTATGGTAATTCACTTTTTAATATTCAGTAAGAGAAAGATTTTGATAATATAAATAAAGACCGGGTTTATATACTGCATTAGAAAGTATAATACTAATCAGTACAATACATCATCAAATCATATTATTTACAATAAATGAATGATAAAATGATTTCATTTTTTATGCTTTTCATATTATTTTAACTTCAAATAGCGACTTTCTTTCTGGGAACCTCTGAGGTTCAGTTTTATTCTTTCTTTATTAAATGATAATTTTAATAATTGTGGGTCACCGATTTCAAATATTTTTTTTATGATACTACATCGAATAATAATGGACACATATCCTGGCATTCATTTCAATGGACTCTAGGAGTCAAGAAAAAAAATATATTTTATATAATTTCTAACAAAATATATATTATTTTGTTCGAATTTTTAGGATATTATATATCAATCGATTTCTTTTTTGTGCAGAATAAGAAAAATATATTGACTATTGTATTAAATGAGTTATAATGTACCACAAATTATAAAAAAAACAATTTACCAAAGTCTTAAATAAGAATGTTTATAGAAACCAAAAATTACAAAATTTAATATTTGATTTTCTAAAAAAAAAATGTCTTGGCCGATAACTTAAGCATTCATAACTTCTCAGGATTTTGTCTAAATTCAACGTTGGTACAACCATTGAAAAGCTGAACCACTGCCCTTTCAGCTCACATCAATAACTTTTAGAATTCTTTTTTTTTTTGTTTAAGCTACTTGGACTTATTAGTACAATGTATATTTAACAGTTAATGATGAATTATACACTTTAAATTAAGTCTGAGTCATTAGATTCATTCTGTTGATTAAAGTCTTGAATTATAACATGTTAGTTATTTTTTTCTGTAGGAAGATGGAGATAATGATAAAAGTCATGGTTTATCCAACATTATGTATCAAACATTGGCAGCTGCTTCGTTCACTAAAGACCCCTTACCTAATGAGAATGGAGAAGCACCAATGAGCTTGTTACTTGATGATTCAGCAGATCTTCAAGAACAGGCAGATGGCGCTGGTCATGGAAATGGAAATGGTTGTGCAGATTTCTTCTATTATTATTCACTATGCTGCTGTACAATAATGTAAAACTCTTTATCATCAGCTTTATTACTATGTAATTGTGATATGTGCTTCAAAATTATGGTGCTTTAATCTAAGCTTTAGAATAAGTGTCTTTCACATCATATATGTTAAGATTAAAACATATTATAAATTGTAAGCTGAGCTTACTTATTTTAAGAGATATTTTTGTGATTAAATATAGTTTTATATTTTTGAAATAATAAATACATTAGTATTAAAATTTTTAATATGATTATGAAGAGAAATATTTTTATGAGATTAAGGAGAAAATGATTCCTGTATTTTATTTTAAATTATGTTTACTGATATTTTATTTTATGAAAAAATTAGGTTTAAGAACATCACATTTTTAAACTATTAACATTAATTACTATCTTATAGAATTAAAACATTTGGTTCCTGCATTGTGTAGTTTTTCATGTGCAGTCAACACTTCCTAACTTGTCAATTACAATGGCTAAATTAATACTTTTTTTTCTGTTTGTGAACCTGGCAAATCATTAATATTTTTCTTTTCTAATTTTTCTTCTTAACCCTTTAACAGTATTGGGCTCATTTATCAGTCGAGATGGAAGCTGACCCAGATGATGGCGGACCCATATATGAGTAGAGAACTTATTGGGCTAATATAATAACATATTTCAGTTTTTTTTTTTTTTTTTTTTTTTTTTTTGAGAGAGAGAGAGAGAGAGAGAGAGAGAGAGAGAGAGAGAGAGAGAGACATATTTATACAAAACATATAACAGTTTTAGTTTTAATTTTTGACTCATTTAAGTGTACAAAAAGTCAATCTTATACAAAATAAAGGTTTAAAAGTTCACATTTTATAAAAGAAATTGTAAAGGTCATGTTGAAAAAATAAAACATTTCAATTGTAAAAATTTAGATAAAAATGAAAATAAAAAATTTAGAGGGATGCCCAAAATTAAAAGGCTGAAGTAGTGATAAAAAGTATTCAGTTACAAAGAGTCTGAGAATTGCCGTCCTTAAGGCCACTCCTTTCTTCCTGCTCATCGTCATTAAAAGGCTAAAGTCTTTTACTAACTACTATAGTGAGATCTAATCAACATAAGACCAAGAGTTCTTTGTCCAACCCATTCTGCCTATCTAATCATCTAGTGTTGAGTTCTCCTTAAAATTATTCCCTTACATCTTCCATGATCTTCCCTCTGCTTGGGTTTCATATATTTGCCTATGCAAATTTTCTATGATCCTCCTAATTAAATTCCATGATTTTATGAAGAAGTTAGATTTAGCTGAAGTTCACACAAGTAACAGAACAAACCTGCCAGACATATCATAACCACAGAAAATGAGAAACACTTCCTACTGGTTTATAAAATGAAAAAAACTTTAAATCTGATAAAAATCTAGTTTAGAATTAATATTGATATTTATAATAGATGAGATGCATAATTGGGTATTCTCTATTTTTATAGCATTTTAAATATGGAAATTTAAAGACAACAATAGATGATTATAAATGTCTCACAAAATTTAGTATTCTATTAAGGAATTGTTTTCCTTCAAAACGGTTTCTACCCATTTACTTCTGTATGTCATAAAGCACTGATGGTAATGTAATTTCCCTTAATATTTTCCCATATTGAAGAGAGAAAAAAAAGGCTATTGATCGTTCTTACCTTTTAAGAATAAAATCATTATATAAAAAAAACTATTTGTGACCATTTTAAATTAAGAAATAATATGAAGACTCATAATTTAAACTCAGAGTGGTACATAACAGAAGCTATTCCTTTTTAAGAACAATAATTCTCTTGTTCAGGATAATTCAAACAAAACATAAAATTTCATTAATGACATATAAGATCTCATGTTTCATTCAAATAATAAATAAAAGTAGTTTTGTCACCTATTTAATATTTTAATAACAATGGCTTCATAACTGTTTTTAATGTGATTTTTTTTTATTTGAATCAAAACACCCATGAGATACCTCTATGGCTTTAAAATTGGTGAAAATAAATTTTAAACTTGCCTACGTAGAGGATTTCCATTATGACGCCACAGAGAAATGAGATAAGATATTTCATTTTTGTATACCCTCTTCTTTTAGTAAATCATGATTTGTGCTACCTCTTGCTAGAATTCTGTACCCATTTCTATTCACGAATTCTCAGCAATGTTTTGTTTTTTAACACTACTCATTTGTTCACATACTTTTTTTTTTTTATTTATTTATTTATATGATATTTACAACTGTATACAAAAAATACATCTGGTAAATTCGCACATGGATATAATGACATGGAACACATGTTGAGAAACTACCCATTGGTAGCACTCTAATAATATGTCTATATTAGAAGATCACGTGGCCATCTTCTTTTCAGACGCCTTGGAGAGTTATTAGGAATCAAATAGGAAGCAAGGTTAGAGACAAGAGGGTTGGGATGGTTATGAAGTTTATTATGGAAGGACAGATATCTGGATTGGGCCAAACCTGATACATAAGGAACATTAAGGTCATTACGGATAATTTTATTTGTAACAAAGTAAGGAGCATTGAGGATTTTACGAAGGATTATGGATTGTATGCGAGAGGAATTTGAAGGTTTGGTAGAGCCCCATAGCTCAACTCTGTAAGTCCAAATAGGCCTTATTATAGTCATGTAAATGAGTCTTTTATAATTGATTGGAAGGTTAGAGCGTTGGTCTAGTAAGTGTTGAAATAGTCGGAAACGTCGAGCTGTTTCTTGTCGTTTCAGTCTGGTATAAGGATTCCAAGTTAGACGTTTGTCCAGACGGAGTCCTAGGTAACGGATTTGTTCAACAGGAATAAGTGAGGTGTTGTTAAAGGATACTGAAGGACAGGAAGTCATTGGTTTATGACGGTTCACATACTTAATTATGTAAATATCATACCAATGAAAAAAATTGATATTAATGTTATTAAAATCATTATTATTAGATAACTACGTTCCATATGTAAATATAATCTACATTCCATATATAAATAAAATTGGCTATATTATAGCCAAACAAATATACACTAGATATGAGCAATGCTCATATTGTCACAAAATGAAAATATTTTGTATTAGCTCAAATGTGACTCGGTGCTCTAATAGTCCATGGTACGGAATCCCTTTTATCGAATTATTAACGTCTGCCTGAAACTTCATAAATAGTTTCATCTCATCGTAACCTACAACTATTTTATTTACGAAACTCTTGTAATTGAGGTGTTTTCAATCTGGAGAGGAGAAAACTTAGTCTATTTAATTAGCTACTAAAAACTCGTAAATACCCATTTGCTTTCTTCTTGGATCGTAAGATAATTTGACCACAAAATCGATAAAAAAAGGTGGCCTTCAAAAATATTGAGCCGTTTAGCATGACCTACACTCCCAAATTTTCAAAATAACGAGGTTATATAGAACAAACAGTCCAATATTTTTGTAGGCCACCTTTTTTCTCGATTTTGTAATCAAATTATCTTACCATCAAAGTAGAAAGCAAATGGGTATTTACAAGTTTTCAGTACCTATTAAATAGACAAAGTTTGCCTCCCTCCAGATTGAAAACATCCCAATTTCAAGAGTTTTCGTAAATAAAATATTTGTAGGTTACAATGAGATGAAGCTATTCACAAAGTTTCAGGCGGATGTTAATATAATTCGATAAAAAGGGGTCTATACTACTACAGACTATAAAATAAAGTTATTTATATCAAAACTCCTTTGTAAGTTATGCAAATATGTGTAGTCAAGCTGTATTGAAGTGTCCTCTGGAAGATACCTAATTGGATTAATTGAGTTTAGTTCAATAATGACCATTTAGTCCAATGATTGACAAAATATTCATTTCAGTAAATCTTTGTAATAGTTATATAATAGCTTAGCATTGACATTTAGGAGCAACATTGCCTATATCAATTTTTAATATTATGATAAGCAAACCTATTTATGAAAAATTTCCGACTGAATCTGAAGACAACATTAGTTTAACAAAATTCAAATTAATTTAATAAATAAAATTAAACATAATATATAAGTGTGTGTGTGTGTGTGTGTGTGTGTGTTACTTCTACAGTGGCAATATAATTTTCATTCAAGGTGAAGAGAATAAATCAATTAAGATATTGATGAACAACCACAGGACAAGTATTTTCAAATATTGCATCAAAAATTCAAATAATTAAAACTTTTCAAAAATTATTATTTAATAATGATTTCAAAATTCGATAACTTTAACCTTTTCAATAATTCAAGAGCATAATCCGCTATCTGCTTAAAATTTGTTAACAAAACTGGTATGAAGTTTCCAGCGATGAAGATATCCAAAGGAAAAAATATTTTAACAGTCATTTTTGTTTTCCTACTTTAAATAAATACAATTTATTTTATAACATATACAAATTTAAGGCATTTTTTTTTATTGTTTTTTTACAATTATCAATATTTATAAATAAATTATAATGCTAATTTTACTACGGAGCATTGGTTTGTTGGTTTTTACTATCTTCTGTAACTTGTTCAGATTCTATTATGCTATTGAGAGATGCTTCAAACTCTGGAACCTCAATAAACTTCCTTTTACTCCCAACAGGAGGTCCCAAAAGCTTTTCAATGTCTGTATAGTTGAGCGTTTCCCGTTTAAGTAATTCTGCTGCCATCTAAATGAACATAAATAATAGAAATTGAATATACAATTCACTTTTAACACTCAATAAAAAGTAGCACTCATTATGTTGATTTGATGGGATTATGTTAAAAAAATATTATAAAATGGATGTTCTGTTAACAAATAAAAAATTTAGAAGTGATAGTAGCAACAAATCATTCAAGTAGACCATTTCAAATAAAAAGGAAAAAAATCAAACTTTGTGTTGTTTTGATCCATTTTTTCTCTTTGTCACTTGGAATAAGCTGTTAACTCGTAATAAATGTTGCAACAATCATCATTTGTTCCAAACCTTAATTTCTTTCTTCAAATTATATAAACAGTGGTATAGCTAATTTTTTTAATATATATTTAATCTAATTGTAGCCATTTATATATTAATTTTTAAGACTATTATATTTAAATTTAATTAACAGCTAATTGTTGGAGTAGTAATTAACAGTTCTTTAATTGGAAGTTTCGGTAATATGAATCACAAATCATTATTTTTATTGAGACTTTTTCTATAGTTTCAGAAGTTACCAAGAAAACTATTAAAATTTCTTTTCCCTTTCTGAGTTCTTCTTCTTCAAGATCTTTCCTCTCCTATAGCAGCACAGTGTGAGGCACCTTTTAATAGAGCTTGATCCATAAATCCTTGTCGTGTAGCAGCTATTTCCTCCTGTTTCACTCCACACCCGATCTGTGGAAGGCCTCTTTCAACCCTTCCTAGGTCTACCTTGGTCTCTTTCCCTTTCTGAGGTAGCTTCTTCATAGATAGCTATGGAAATACGATTCACAGAAATTCGAGACAATGTCTGAACCACCCAATTAATGTTCTTCCGATATTTCCTTGATTGGTTTCATACTAAGACTCGCACATTAAATCATAGTGTTCCTCATACGGCCCCATGTTGTCTGCCCTCAACCTTCTTAAGATACCTAATGCCTATTACTTGGATCTGATTTTTGTGTTTAGTGATGAGGATCCAAAATTCACTTGCATATGTCAGTATCGGAAGGAATGTGTTTTTATAGACCTTAAATATAGGAAGCCAGTCTTCAGGGCATTGAAGCATTTTCCCACTATTCTTATCCTCTCCTTTATCTCACCATCAACCTAACCATACTCATTCGATTAAACCTTAATAATCTGTATACACTGTCATTTTTCCCTGCTATCCTCATAAATTTTATAGATTTTTTAAAAATTAATTTAATACTGTATTTATTTTCTTTAGCTCTTCTTGGAGGATACAGAGATTGAATTGGAGGTTTCTACATTTTCTTAATGGAAGTGGGGTAGCTCAGTGATAGGCCACTAAGCTTCCAGTGCTCAAGGTCTCAGGTTCAAATCCCGGCTCATGGCAGAAAAATTATTTATTCTGTTTCATCGGCCCTGGGATCAGTAGATCTTCCTGAGGCACACCCAGCCTCTATAAAGTGGGTACTCTTATTTAAATAATTAATTAAGGGGGAAAACCTCATGGTTGAGCATGATCTCAGTCAAATCACCTCCTTACACAACTATTGACCAAGAAACAATACTTTCCTTAAATAGTACTGAACCCTATCTTCAAGGATTGTAGTGGTACAGGTTTTTTCTTTATTTTATTTTTTATTTTGCTCTTCTTGAAGGATACAGAGATTGTATTGGAGATTTCTACAATTGCTCCCAAATAAAAAATCAGGTTGTCAGCAAGAGTTAGTATTGTGTACGTTACTTTTTAGAATCTCCTGAAGCCCAGTTGAAACAGTCTTACGTTTAGTACAGATTTTTTGAGTATGATGTCGAGGATAATTATGAAAAGGAGCAGGCTTAAACTGAAATCCAGCCTGATGCCAATACTGGTCACGAACTCTTTGAAGGTGTGGTGGCAAATTTCCACGTTTATGGTATAGGCTAAGAATTGCTAGTCTTAATCCCACTTCTACTCCTTTTTCTCTCAACAATGTTCTGTATCTAATACTTTAGCTCTGTCGAAGGGTTTGGACAAGTCAATGAAACAAACATAAGCTATCTTGTTCCTCTCAATGATCTTCTCAGAGATCTGACTAAATGTAAGTCTTGACAGCTAGTAGTTTGCCTGAATCCGTATTGCTCATCGTCGATAAGTGGTTCAATAGCTGTTCTGAAGAGTTTCTCTAGGATTTTAGAGTAAACTTTGCTTGAGAGGCTGAGGAGAGGCACCTCTATGGTTCTTGTACATTCTATTATTTCTTTTTTTTTTTTTAGATGGAGACTATTACCGATATTTCCCAGTTCTTCGATATCTTTTTGCATTTCCAAGTAAGGTTCAAGAAGTATTGGACTGTTTCTATGCCACCTTCTCCAAGGTATTTCATCACCTCTGGAGTTATGCCGTCGATACCTGGAGCTCATCCCAGTTTCAAGGAGGTTAATTTTATTTCTTGTTTCACTTCCTTATCCACCAGAATGTCTACTTGACTCTTGAGCCAACCAGACTTTTCCCACATACTGTTCCAGCACTGTCCAATACTATTTTCTTGAAAGTGCTCCAGCTTACCTCTATATTATCAGAATCCCAAGGATAATTCCAGGATACTCTTTTTCTTCTATTGCCTTTTGGTCAGCTTGGGCAACTTCTTGGTCTTTCAGCATAAAAGTATTTATTTTAGAACCTCCCTTAAAGAATACCATTATTTTCCTTTATCTTCTTTGTAGCTTATTAAAAAGGAAGATATTCAATAACATGTGGTCTCTGCCTATTTCTGGTCCCCTCATGACCCTGATGTTAATTATATTTTTTATTTCATTTGTTCGGATCATGAAATAGTCGATAGATTTTTCATTTCCCCGGCTCTACTCTACTGTACTGGTGCGTACATTTCTGTCCGCAAGACAAAAGTTGAGTTATAAGTTTTAATGGTTTTTTAAATTTAGTTTTAACAGTTCAATCATAAAACATAAAAATGTGTACTGATTAAGTTTTGATAAATAAAACATTAATCATTAACATTAGGCACGAAAACAGAAATTTTAAACTGTCTAGAGACAAGGATTAAATATGCTCAAGTCAACTGTACAAACTAAACACAAAGTTTAAATTTTGTTGTAGTTTGTATAAACTATTTTTTATGCACATAACTATAATTGTAAAATAAAATGTCATTTTCTAGATTACATATTACATCTAAATATTTATTTATCCTACTTTCCATGATTTCCTTCATTCAAAAATTTTTGATGAACATATCATTGAACATATCACATGGTATGTGGAATATGATTCAATAGTACTTCCCTAAGAAAAATCAGGAAATATTTTATTAATAAAAGAAAACTTCAATGACATAAAACATAAAAATTACATTTAACGATAAATTATATCTGCAGCACCTGTGAATAAGGGTTTAGATACAAATTTGTCTATTTCAAATTTTAGCACAATTTTTCCAGTAATTTCCCAGTATTCCTGTAAATTTTCCTGGAAATTCCAGTAACCTCAAATTTTCTCCAGTAAAATAATGCTTCGGCCTACATTGGAGGTCAATTTATATTTGGCTTTGAACTAAGGAAATTTGAGTTCGACCAAACTCACCATTTTTAAATCACTTCATAGTTTATTTTATATTCCGAATTTGTGATAGGAGGCAATGCAGTTTATAAAATTGAAATAAAATCATTTTTAAGTTAGTAAAAGTTAAAAATAGAAACAAAAAAGTACTATATTTGTGTTCTTACATTATTTTTATTTTAGTAATACCATAACTTGTTCAATTTTGTTATATGCACACCTGTAGTATTTCCAGAAGTATATCGATCAAAGCATGCACAAATATAATAGGTCCACCATAGTTAACAATTTAAAAAAAAAAAAAGTTATTTTTAAAGTTAAAAATGTTATTTTCAAAATAATAAATTGCTACTTAATGCATACATTTTGACAAAATATCTTCATGTTCAAAATCTTGTTTTTGTCCTTTTTGAAAGTTTACAAGCATGGAAATACTTATTAATTATGGTTTTAGCCACCAATATGGCTGGCTGCATTTTTAACTCAATTGATATAATTCAAAGCCATTGATAAACACAACCTAGCATGAACTTTGGTAGAATGATTTGGAATGATTGAAATGATGGAATTTTGGTAGAATGATTTGGTAGAAAAATATTTCTATAGTAACCTACAGAAAAACTTCTCTAACCTTTACAGCACTTCCCAATAATAGAAGAGGGTTCACTCACCGTATTCAGTTTATCCCTGTTTTTCAAAAGAATTTCTTCAGTAAATCTGAATGCTCGGGATACAAGAGTTCTAGCTTCAAGGTCAATCCTTCCTGCCAACTGTTTACTGTATGGCCGTTTTCCCTCGGACTCTCCACCTGGAGGTACGTATGATAACAGACCAATTTTCTCACTCATACCGAATCTGCGTACCTGTATTTAATTGTATAATTTTATTTCTCGATAACAAATTTGCACATATATATTATAAAATAGAAAATATTATATTTTCAAAGTGATAATGACATATTCAACACATATAACTCCTGATTTTGCTCACCATTGCATAAGCCAAATCAGTAACTTTTTTTAAATCCTTCTCAGCTCCAGTAGAAGATCGGTTAAAAGTAATTATTTCAGCAACACGACCTCCAAGAGCCATACACATTTTTGCAAATAACTAAAAACAGCAAATTAAAAAATAAAATAAATAATTCATTGATTATATTTAATATTCTCTTAATCTATGAGGGATCTACTGAAAAATGATGAAATTTCATTTTTTTTCTGATTTCCCCCCAAAAAATTAAACCCTTCACATTTCATAATTCACATAAACATTTCATAATTTCAGAGTAATTTTCATATAAAAAAAAAGTCTGCCAAGTAAGGTGACTATAGTTTCCTCACGGTTTTCATTGGCTAAAAAATATCTATATTACAAGGTCTAAAATTTTTCGTATGAGAATAAAATCTCTGGGAGAAACCGTTTTAGGAAATTCAGTAATCCCTCAACATATACGGGTTTGATAATTTTTTTTCATTGAATACTAAAATGCAAAAAAGTTCCGCATATGCAGATTGCATATTTGATGAATCGGGATTAAAAAAAACATCGAGTGCATACTAAACATGAATATCACTACTGTTAGTGCAAAAAGTCGTATGTAAACATTGAGTGTTTTACAGGAAAGCATAAAAACTAATTTCCTCTGCTATTGTTCATCTTAGCAGAATGCTTATATCAGTTGCAGAATACAAAATTTCACCTTTAGCACAAATAGAATTAAAATTTTTGCATACAACCTTTTGCACAAACAGTATTAATATGTACTTAATCAGCATGTTTTCACTCGTAAAATCGATTTTATAAAAACTCCATTAGAGAAAAGAGAAAAACATAACTTTTTGTTTTTTCAGAGTTAACAAGACCAATACTTTTCTTCAGTCAGAACAAAACTATTTAAGCTGGAATATAAAAATATTTGTAAAAATCAAACATAAACTTGATTCCACAACGAGCTGGTTGAACTTCAATAGAAATAAACACAATCACAAACAAGATTTTTCTTTTTTACAAACTTAGAATAAAAATTAATTTAAATTTATTGAAAATTACACGAAATCTAAGTAACGGCAGTAAGCATCATTCCAGTAATGTTTGTATTCGACAAAACAAAACAGAACAATTCAACTATTTGAATAAAACCTAAAATTTTATAGCCCTATAACAATATTGTCATAACCTAACTCCCACTCCATATGATCAGTGCATTTCACATTTCACTGCCATTATATTGTTAACAATTATTTATATTAATTTTAATTATTACATGGAATTCATATTAGGAAATTTTTATACTATTCTCCAAATTTCCTTGAAGTTTGGGTCAAATTGAACGCGTCAAATTAATTCAATTTTGAAACCATAGGCTTGCCAAATAATACATTATAATACGGAAGGGAAAGTATTTTTTCCATGAGAAGTGGATATAATCTAATAAAATTCATATCTACTTGATTATCTGTTTACCAATCCCTATCTTCCCTCCAAATTTGAGTCAAAACATGCAGTTTTAGAGATATAGACATATTAAGGCAATCACGTTTGTGCATATATATGAGAACTTAGTGGACAGAATTGACATTATGTTCTTTTTTCACCATTACCTACCTTTATCTAACTTTGAGCCAAATAAAAGGAGCCCTTTCTGAAATTTAGGCATCTCTAAAAAAATACGTATTTTTAATATCCCATAAAACTATCCCTGAAAATCGGATGAATGGTACTAGGTGATATGCCTGTCACATCGATTTGACTACAGACAGACAGGCACCGAACCAAATTTGATCCTTGATGTCTGAAACGTAAAACAGGAGTGGAAATTTTCGATTCTGAGCACATTTTTTTTAACCTCTCGCACGAACACAATACTTCCTTTCCTTCGGTAGTGAGGAAGCAATAAATTCAATAAATAAAGAGTAAACCACGATTCAAAAATCCTCATTTATTAATATAAACGAAATTTCAAATTCGAGCTTAAACTACTTAAAATTATTTATAAGTAATACATAATAGACTCATTCAAAATATTTAATTTCCATTTTAATTTATGTATGTTATTATCACAATAAATTAATGTCATGATTAAGCAAGTAAAAAATAAATTTAAATTAGCAATTTTAACTGAGTTTAAATCTATTTTTATGCAGAACTTCTCTGTAAACAATGTTCTTTTTGAATGTTCTGTTATTATTTAGTACATAGTATTGCCCATTGGCATTGGAAATATAAACTTCAAAATTTTAAATGAACATCGCGCTCTATTTGCTGCCTGTAATTGCTGCCCATATAATTGTCCATACGAAATTACTGGACGTCGCAATACATAAATTATTCCAAAACTTTGATCCTGTAATATGATTATGGTCATAGCAAATGCAGCTATTAATAAGAATGTTGTACTTTGAAATTCGAATGGAAGTATTGTGTCAGAAAATATTAAATTAATTCTTGGAATTAAAATTCTTTTGATTAAAGTAGTTCCTGTCAGTACTTCAGTCTCATTTGTGTTCCATTAACTAATGCTTGTGCAGTATTTAAGTTAGGAATGAGTATAACTATAGAATTTATTTTTCAATTTAATTTATGAGATAACATTCCACTAACATTCAATGATACCATATCTTCAGAAATCAAATCAAACATCTTCAAATAATAGTCCCAATTACTTCATTAAATGTAAAGTTTTCCATTTATCAAAAATCAAAATAAAGAAAATCGACTTCGCAAAAGAAAAAGTACTAAATGCTTAAAACGATATATCTCTCATAGATATATGCTCTATAACGATTTCGATGATTATTTTTTTCTGTTTGTAGGGAATTCAGGAAGCTTTCAAATAAATATTGGTATTATCAATAAAAAAATTTGTATTCGTTTTTCGAATTCTACATATCCTGAAATGTAAAACCTCAAATTTTGAGAGGGGGTTAAGTTTTTGAATTTTTTGGTCGATCACAATGGTTCATTATTGAAAATAATAAACCTAAATGTGTACTTTGTGAGTTATTCGCAAATAAAATAATGAATTCATCATAAAACTTTAAGCAGCTTGTTTTCGGAAAAAAATAAATTATAAATGTTTCAAGGGGAAGACTTTAGCCAAGTTTAATTACAATCGTTAAAGCTGTTTTGGCACTACAGTCTAAAGCGACTCACGTTTTTTGGCCGCCATTTGGAAAGGAAAGGTCTGATGATAATGAAACATGTACAAAAACACTTCTCAATATTATTGCGACGTGTCAAAATTTCAAACAAAATCGGTGAAGAACTTTCGTAGATTAGCTGTTTTGAACAAACTACCATTTATATTTTTATTTACACACTATTTCATATTTTTATTTATTAATAACACTAAAGCTCGTCAACAGCTATTAAACAAAAAAATAAGAAAGAAAATCAGTTGAATAATAGAAGAGAAAAAGGGGCTGAACTGTTTTGTATTTGTCTATTTATGTAATGATTTAAAAACTTATACACAAAGACAACAAATAAATTATGATAATTAGCTTTAAAACTCAGATAAGATTGGAACAAAATATGAATAGTACTAACTATGTACTATTTACAGAAAAAACACATACCTCCTCTTTTGAGTACAGTTTTTGTTCTTGATGACTATATTGGGAAAATCCAAGAGAAAGATTTGTTCTAGGCACTATGGTTACTTTAAGAAGTACACTGGCGCTTGGTGTTAACCAACTCATCAATGCTCGGCCAGATTCATGCATAGCTACAACTTTTTTTTCTTCCAAGGGCATAACAGTCGATCTTTTTTCAGTCCCACCTACGACTCTCTCGACTGCATATTCAAGATCAGCCCGTGTAACAGTAGCTTTGAGGTCTCTAGCCGCATGAAGCGCTGCTTCATTTACAACATTCGCAATATCAGCACCTGTTATAATACATAATATATTTGAAAGTATAGCTTGTTAAAACTGTTCTAAAAATATGACTATATAATATAAAATTATACTATCATTATTTATATTTTAAAAACTACCTTTTAACAGGAATAAGACAAAATAATTACTTTTTCAAATTAGGAAAAGAGTTCATAGCACTTTGACAAGTTCACGGAGGATTTTGGTTAGAAGTAAATTTATTAAAGTTTATTAAAACTACTGCAAAAAAAATTATTTTCCTACAATTATTAACAGTGACACCACTAACCACTGAATCCTGGTGTGAGCTGTGCCAATCTTCTGGAATACACCTTTGGTTCATGATCCAATCTAATTCCCTTAAGATGATAATCAAAAATTTCAATTCTTTCATCTAACGTGGGATAATCAATGAGAATGTGGCGATCGAATCTTCCTGGTCTAAGCAGAGCCTAAAATAAATTTTGAGTTTATAAATACAAGAATATAATGAAGAGAAGAATAGTTGGGGTGCTCAGTCAAAAAAGGAAGGCAAAAAATAAATTATAATATTTATTTTTTACATATGCCGACGTTTCGACCTGAAGTTCAGGCCATCATCAGGGCTAAGAAAATAACCAGATAACAAGGTATGAGAAACATAAGTAATGATGGTAACGCATACACGCATATATGCGTGTATGTATGTGTGTGTATATATATATGTATATTTATGTATATATGATATATTTTTATTTCAATTTTTCTTCCTTATTACTCAATAGTTATTTTTCTTTTGAATTTTTCTTTCACTTTCTATTAACTTTCGTTCAATATTCCATAATTTTTCTAAATAATATATCTCTCGTACCTATTTAGGCTTCTAGCATTCTTCTAGTTCAAACTTCGTCCGATAACCGTTAGAGATGACGCCACCTCCACATCCCTTCTCTCTCCACCTTCTTTGTAACGACTTTATTCTCCCCTTGACACTTAAGGAGAAAGGTAGTACTTCTTTTATTTCTTTCTTATTTCAGCTTTCTCAATTTCTTCCCTCCTTCCTTTCATTCCTTTTCTCTGTTGTTAACTCTCTATTATATTATACATTGTCTGTACATCTTGATAGACTTTACAATATCTCAATTTTCTATCTAACTACTCCATTCTCAATGTTTTTAATTTTACTATTTATTTTATTCTCATTTCTTATATAACTTTATATTTCTTTTTTATGTTTTTACATTTTATTCTAAGATTCCCAATGTAACACTTTTGTCACCCCCTTTTTGATTATGCCTACTTCATCATTCCACACTATGTAACAGTCTGTATTATTTATCTCTTAGTTCTTAGTCATTATTCTAACAATATCATTTTACTTTATATCTATCTATTTTATTTTTCTAATATTTTATTTAGATCTATTTTATCTAGATCTAATCTATTTTATTTTCTCATTTTTTATTATCTTTTTTACCATCATTACTTATGTTTCTCATACCTTGTTATCTGGTTATTTTCTTAGCCCTGATGATGGCCTGAACTTCAGGTCGAAACGACGGCATATGTAAAAAATAAATATTATAATTTATTTTTTGCCTTCCTTTTTTGACTGAGCACCCCAACTATTCTTCTCTTCATTATCCACGACAGTCAACCAATTACCAATTATTACAAGAATATAATTTTTTTAAAGTTTAAAAACCTATCCTTAGATACCTAAAATCAATTAATAAAAAGGTGAATTAATGGATTTATAACAAAAATTATTAAGGGTAAGTACAAAAAAAACTTCCACCAATGTTTTAGTTGATAAAATAGTATTAATTTATTAACACAATTAGTAAAAGGAAATTTTTCATTATTTGAGTTGCGACACTTAGAGATCCATCTTATGCTTTGTTAAAACAAGAAAGAAACAGCTAATGTTTAAATAAAATGAAAAAATGTTTCATAAAAAAATTATGAAAGCATACAGCATCCACATAAGTTTCACCTGGTTAACATTTTATTCAAACATTTAGTTTGACAGTTAACACTTTATACACATTTCAACTTTATATTAATGTTAATTATACTGATTAACATTTCTTTCTTTTATAGTGTGTACAGAGTATATTAATATATTGTTTTCTTATTATCTTTTTCCACCAATTTGGATTCCGCACATCTCATTCCACTATCCAGCAATGTCATCGTGTGGTGGACGTGGTCTCCTCTGCATTGGAGTGTGGATTGTACTGCACGGGAGTCTTTCTCAACGTTGAACAGGTGTTTGATAGGGTCTGGCACCTGGGACTGATGTACAAAATCTGTAAATTCCTACCACCTACATACTTCCTCATTAATCCGCTCCTACCTTACTGATAGATGCTTTAAAGGAAATCACAAAAACTCTTATTCATCCCTTTTTCCCTAGTTTGCTGGTGTTCCTCAAGGTAGTATCCTTGGTCCTATAATTTACACAGTTTATACAGCTGACATCCCAATTCATCCTGACACTGTCATCACCACATATGCTGATGACACATAAATCCTATCTGTTAATAATGATCCATCAACTGCATCCCAAACTCTCCAATCTCATATCACAAACCTTGGTTTGTGAGGTATGTAGAGAGGTATATCTACACAACCATATTTTTTTATTTTTAGCAGTTTCCATTGTATCCTAGCAAAATAAGGGATAGTATTTTGTACTGCACATAGTTAACATTAAGTGGGGAATAAATTTACTAAAACCTGTCAGAATAAATAATTGAAGCAATAAAATTAGTTTTCCTTGTTTTCTCAATAGAAATGATGAGGAAACAATGCTGGCCTACTTCCCAGGATTAGGTTATATATTTACTTTTAAATTTAATTCTGATATAGCATCAGTATATTTATTACATATAGATACTGTCTCCAATGACCATTAAAAAACATATGAATGGGTAAAGAGTAATTAAAAAAAAACTAACTTTGTCGAGTACATCAGCTCGATTAGTAGATGCAAGCATGAGTACCCCTTCTTTTGATGCCATACCATCCATTTCAACCAACAGCTGATTCAAAGTCTGTTCTCCTTCACCAGTGGAACTATCCATGGGACCAACGCCACCGCTGCGTTTCTTACCCATTGCATCTATTTCATCAATATATATGATACACGGTGCTCGCTTTCTACCTTCTTTGAATAAATCCCTAAAAAGTAAAATAGTAATCAATAATTAAAATTTAAATTACAAGATTCCATCGTCAAGAAAGGCAAATCGGAAACTATTCAACACATTTTGAACACAAGATTTAGATCATTTATTTCTTACAACGTTTACAACAAAAAAATAATGGTTTATTTTATATTTTTAATCTTCCAGCGGGCGCACAGAATGTGGCACCTTCGGTTTCCAGGCTGTCAAAACTCTTTAAGCGCCCAGATGTTGTGGTGATCGCAGTTATTGGTTTAACTAATTCTTATTGTACTTCTGCTACCTTCCTCCTACCTGCCCCTGATCCTAAGAAACCTATTTTTCCAATTGCTTGGAAAACAGTTATGGCACACTACATGGCCACTCGGATTATACTTTTAGTGTCATAGTTTTTCTTTGATCTTTTTTGTGTTTGAGATTGATTTGAAGTTTTTGCTTTTACCTAAAAAAATTCCATATTGAAACATAGTGCAGTTATAAATTTTATTATCACACTTACATTTATTTTGAGTTATATTGTTTTTAGATGGATTGAAAAAGATAAAATTAAAGTATCATTTTAATTCATATTTTTACATTTATTAATTTTTACTATTACATTTTAATTTTTGTTTATTTTTGCACTTATTGATTTTTAAATTTATCCATAACATTATATATATATATTACAGATACATTTTCAAAAGCACCAAAATCAGCAATCAGTCAAAATATAAATTAAAAAAAAAGAAGAAAAAATTATAAAATTAACTGAGTAACAGCAAGGAGCTTCTACGAGGAACTAGGTGTTGATGTTGGGGAGCTTGCGAAATTGGCCGAGAATATTATTCTGGACTTCCTGAGAATCATTTACCATCACTTATATAGTAATTTACCATGAATTGAGAATGTTTTTTATCATTTATTTATTCTATTTAATTGTTAGCATTGTCTTGTCTTTTTGTTTGTAGATGTGGATATATGTATGTGCGATTTAGTGTTCGAATCTTAGCATTCAATTTTTTTTTTTTTTAGTGCGTATGTTATGCAATGTTGAAGCCTTAGTACAGTTTATTAGGCTTGGTGTAGTTATTAGTTTATATTTTATAAGCTTAATATTATAATGATGAAGGAAAATAAGGAAAGATCTATACATATGTAATAATAGAATAATGTTATGTATAAATTATGTCCAAATGGATTGATCAGTATGCCATGTGTAAAGCAACCCTATGTAGTTGGGCAGCACTACTTTCAATAAAGTATTTCTCTCTCTAAAAATCAACCCATAGCACTTATAACATTTTGTTTTTATTTTACCTGATTTCTGTTTTACTTTTCATTTAAATAATGTTTGTTTGTTTTTCAAAATGGTGTTACTTTTTTATTTGTTTACATATACTTTCACTGAAGATATTGTGTATATTTCTTAATTTTGATTAATGTAATTTTTGGCCAGATATGGTTTTTATTTTTTGTTCACAATTGTTATTCTTAAGAAACCTCGTCCCAGAATAAAGTTTATTTTCTATTCTATTCTATCCTAAATAAATTTCTATAATAATAATAATAATAATAATAAATTTCTATTCTATTCTATCCTAAATAAATAAAATTGGAAATTGTATTAATCTATAGAATATTGAATTTAGAATTTAAACGACTGAAAACAAAACCATTAATCTCTACTAAAAAGACATGGCCCACTCCATGAACTGCGCGCCTACTCATGTTATACATAAAGGTACTGGAAGGTTAAAAAGAATATCGCCTCATCATTGTGTCCAATATTTTTCATACAAGCAAATATCAGTAAAAATCATTATTATATTACAGCATTTTCATTTAAAATAATTTTTGTAATTCAGCTTCTCACTATGTGATAGTAAAGTGATACAAGGAAAATATGAGTGTCAAATGCCACAAAATAGAAAAAAAATTCCTTTATCCCCTACCTGGTCATTTCTGGCATATGGGGGAGAGTTTATTCCTATTATCTATTCTGCTATAGGTATCCAACATACTATAAACATAGTGGGAAGGTTGAGATTCATTTCATGAGCCCACTTCAAAATAAATAAAATTTCAACAAGCTCTTGTTCTTCTTAACCTTAAATCTTTTTAATAATCCTTCATCATTAAATATGGGAGCAGTGCCACTGATATTACAAACCTCACTTTACTTTAATTTATGAGATGAGATTAATATTAGAATTTTCTTGACAAATGACAAGTGGGTTTATAATACCAATACAAAAAAAAAAAGAAGAAAGAAGAAAAATGTGGCTAATTAAAATTGCTTCATGCGTATAACATTAATTAAAGGCCAATAATTGGGCCAGTAAAGTAAATTAATTGGGATTTAAAATCTTTTTATCTCAATAAAAATAAAAAAATAAAACTCACCTAACCCTAGCAGCACCAAGTCCACCAATCATTTCAATAAATTCTGACCCATTCATTGATAAAAATGGAACTTTGGCTTCGGTAGCTACAGCTTTTGCCAACAAAGTCTTTCCACAACCAGGGGGCCCTAAAAGTAAAGCTCCTTTTGGAATCTAAAAATTTAAATGAAAATTTAATAAATAAAATAGAAACTATAATAATGTAAATAGTCACAATAATGAATAAATTAACTGTTATCATTTCATTAATATATCATAGTCCGTGGTATAGTCCCCTTTTAATCACATTATTAACATTCAGCTGAAACTTCGTAAATAGCTTCATTTCATCGTTACATAGAAACATTATATTTACCAAAAGTCTCGGAATTGGGGTGTTTTCATTCTGGAGGTCGGTAAACTTTTTCTATTTAATTAGGTACTAAAAACTCATAAATAGCCATTTGCTTTCCACTTTAATAGTGAGATTCGAATGAGCACAAAGTCGATAAAAAAGATGGCTTTCAAAAATATTGAGCGAGACCTACACCCCCAAATTGTCAAAATAATGAGGTTATATAGGCCAAACGGCTCAATATTTTTGAAGGCCACCTTTTTTATCGACTTTGTGCTCAAGTTATCTTACGATTAAAGTGGTAAGCAAACGGGTATTTACGAGTTTTTAGTACCTAATTAAATAGGCAAAGTTTGCCGAACTCCAGATTGAAAACGACCCAATTCCGAGAATTTTGTAAATAAAATATTTGTAGGTTACAATAAGATGAAGCTACTTACGAAGTTTCAGCTGGATGTTAATAAATTGATAAAAAGAGGTCGGTACCACAAACTATCACTTAACATAACTAACTAAACACCTATTTGAACAAGATAAAGTAAAAAAATAATTATAATTAACCATTTTACTAATTATATCTGTATATATATGATTTTTTAAATTTATTTCATTACAAAATCTAAGGAAACTGAACTTATACAGGGCCAGATTTAAAGGTTGTTGAGCCATAGGCCGTAGGGATTTTGCTGCTCTCTCTTCAAAGCT